CATATTACCTAAATCTTTTTTTTTTTTTTTTGCCTTTTTTGGGTCACACCTGGCGATGCTCAGGGGTTACTCCGTTGCTCGTGCACTCAGGAACTACTCCTGGCGGTGCTCAGGGGACCATATGGGATGCTGGGGATCAAACCCGGGTCAGCCGTGTACAAGGCAAACACCCTACCAGCTGTACTATCGCTCCAGCCCCTTACTGCCACGCCGGCAACGGCGTCGCCCACGTAGCAACATGCTGCAAGGGGGCTCAGGCAAGGGCCTGGGTCCCTGAGAATGGGAGGTTCGCGACCTACGGGTCTATGCCTCCGGCAGCCCCCTTTCTCTGTTTTCTAGGCGCCTCTGACATGCAGTCTTCACTTGCCATTCTGTGGGAATAGGAGCCTGCTTGTTAGATATTTTGATTTAACTTTTGGCCTTGGAAAGATGCTTGCTAGTAGAGTTAATATTAGTTTTTGTAAAGTCCTGATTTTTATATACTTGCTAGTAAAGTAGAGTTAATATTAGCTTTTGTAAAGTCTTGATATTTTCTTAGTTTATGGGTAGGCGTCTTTAGGGGAATAAAAACTTAAATGTCAGTAAAAGTAGACAATAAAGGAATTATAAGGAACATAATATTTTACTCAGATATTTTATTAGAACAAGTGGATCTTCTGCCCTAATCTTAAAACAGAACGTGTACGTGCCCCTTGATGTCTTGGGAACATGACCCATGGTCTGATGTAATGTGTGCTTTGCCACGTTGTTTCTGTAACTGTATAAAAAGAAGAACTCTGGATGCAATAAACCGCAGCAGCACTCAACCTCTCTTGTGTTGGTGTTTGTCTGTCCAACGCGCCGAATCTCCTGCTTTCCTGTGCACCTTCGCCTGGTCTCCCCTCAGCCTGGTGGTCTTCGACCGAGCCAGTCTGCGGCACCTTACCTAAACCATTTTTAAATTAAAACTTGTATTCCAAATACACAATCTTTTAAATAAGAAATCAGCAACTATAACTATTTTAAAAGAAAAGAAATCAATGGCTGGAGGACAGTGTAAAAAAAGAGCCTTTTCCCTCTGTGACTTTTCTGTTTGGGGGAGGCTTTGGTTCTGTTTATCGAGTGAAGTTAATGGTCCCATTCAGAGAACTATGCAGAGAAAGAGAGTGGAGAGAGTTACCTACTAAAGAAAGAAAGAACATAAACTTCTCCAGCCTTGGAAGAGCCTAGGATGAGCCTAAATTCCTTAGGCCTGGAAGAGCCTAAGATTCCTTTCGAGAGGAAATGGGCTTCTCCAGCAGGCTTCTTTCAGTTTGAGATTTCAATGAATCCCAGGATGGAAATATGATTTTTCTGTACCTTTCAAATCTGTACCTGTTAGGACCGAAGACCACCACTCAATATTTAAAGAGACAAAGAGTCCAGTGGGAATGAAAACCGCACATCGAGATTTTATTATACCAGCTAGCTGGGGCAGAGACATCCTGACTCAGGTCAGAGCTCAACTCCGGGTGTTTATAGCCAAGGGTTTATATAATCATCCTGGGCGCAGGCCTCAGGAGCAAGCCCAAAGAAAAATAATTCCAAAGGCAAAAGTATCTTCAAGCATTCCAAAGTAAACAAAGGCATACAAGAGCAAATTATCAAGAAAACAAACATTCCCAATTAAGCATTCCCAGTTCCCATGCATCAAGAAAGCCAAACACCAAATGGTACCTTTAATTAACTCAGTTGATTCACATATCCTTCAGGGCCAGAGCTGTCTCCCACCAAGTGGTACTGTAAACTAATTAACTCAGTTAAGTCATATATTCCTTTTGGCCAGAGCTGACCCCTACAACTTTTACTACCAGAGTGAGAAGAGGTGAGCTAGCTGCTTCTCACATTCCCCTTTTCCTATGATCTCATTGAGGAATCTTCTGCTTCTCACACTATCATGTGAATGTATTAGCTCTTAAATTTAAAAAAAAAAACAACTTTAATGTAGCATTTAACATTCCTAAAAAGGTTTCTCTTTAATTTTTAATTTCAGTTATAACCCATAATTCAAACTGACTCAGTAACTAAGCAAAAGAAGGAAAGTTAAAGGCAGAAATCTTAAAACATACACAAAACTTCCTTCAATCATTATACAATTTAAAACTGAACCGGGAAGAAAAATAGTTTGTTCTATAAAATGTCTATGTTATTAACTGTGAAATGACTAATTTTTAAAGATTGTTTTAAAACATTTAAGCCAAGATTTCATGCTCTTAACTTGAGACACAGTAAAAAACACTCTTGGAGAATATTTTAGATTCTGTATGCCTCAAGAAATCATTTGCTTTCTACTTGTTTAAACTCAAAAAGACAGCAGCGGCGGTGGCTCTGTCTCTCCCGCCGCCCGCGTTAGGTAGTCTCACGCCAGTCCCCCCACCCCAGGGAGGTCGATGGCGATGGGTAGGCAAGGGAAGGAACGAGGGCCAGGCTGGTTGGTATTAGTTGCAGTTTATTCCAATCTTCTCTCCATTCATACCTGTCTCTCTCCTCTGCCGCCTCTCCTGCTTCTTCCTCCCCCATGCTACTTCATTCTCCTTCTTGATCCCCCTTCATTCTCCTTCTGACTCTGGAATCTGGATACTGATTCCGATTCCCTTTCTCCTCTTGCTCTGGAGTCTGGATTCTGATCCCCCAGCCCACTCCTACAATACAGTTAAATCCCAAAGTATGAGGGGTTGGGGTAACAATTACACATAGGTGCGATCACAATCAATAGGGGTAGAATTCTTTCCCTTGGGGACATCCACTCCTAGGACAGATCCTCATTATCAGATCAATCCACCCTACAGCAGATTCCCCTGGGTGTGTTTCTCCTCTCCTTGTCTATCAAACATATAAGCATATATAATATAAATCATTTTGTATGGATACACTAAGAAATACCTTAAACTTATAGAATTGTCCTCCTAGGGCCATCTCGATCTCAGACTACAGTGCTCAGGCTAAATAGTCTTTCCTACCCCTAGCAGGATCCGAGTCTCATCGTTACTTTTGGATCATGACAGCACTTGTCTATGATCGAACTCTTAACTGATAGTTAAGAACCTTGGCACTTTTGCCTGGCCCATTTCGATGCCAGGGTAGCTCACCGCTTGCCCTGGGTCCATTCAGTCCCTCGTCGGGATGCTGCTTTTGGAGTGTTAGGAACCAAGGGCAACTGAGGCTTAAGTCGAGAAAGCAGATGCCTGGGAGTGAATAACATTCAAAGCCAATTAAATCCTAAGTTACAAAAGCATAATATTAACCGTCTCTCTGTATCTTTACAAAAAGGACATTGCATTAAAGTAAACTATTCATAAGACATAGGGAGAGGAGAAAGGCAATATTTCACTCATATATATAAAATCATAGATTTCTGAGGAATCTGACCTTACAAGTTAACAGAGTCTGATTAGGGGAAAAAGCTGATTAACTGGTTGAGGAAGAGAGCATAGATAAGTGGTTACAGATAAACGAATGAAAGTGACTTGGGAGCACTGTGATGGGTGTAACCTGATAAACCTAAGCTCCTTGTGGAGAAAGAAAGGACAAAGCAATGTTATCCTACACTACTGATTACACAAAACAGATGTATTCTCAGACTTTGCTATGATGACTAAATACAAAACATCACCAAATGATTTCAATATAACTTTATTACCTAAAAATAATGAGACTTGGTATTTAGGTAATTTAGTAACTCTTTCAAATCATTATGATCAAATAATAAAATTTAATAGTAAGGGAAAGTTGTAATAATAATTTCAAACACTCACTGAAGCAAAGAAATTTATCTCAAACACCTATTGAAGCACAGAACCAGATAATGAAGCAAGAACCTAGAAAGTTTAAACTTAAGCAATAAGTCACATAAGCAATAAGTGAATAAAAATCTGTAACTCAAACAATTATGTTCAGTATGCTTTTGTGGGTTTTTTTTGGGGGGGGGAGTTGGGGGTCACACCCAGCGATGCACAGGAGTTACTCCTAGCTCATGCACTCAGGAATTACTCCTGGTGGTGCTTGGCGGACCACATGGGATGCCAGGAATTGAACCAGGGTTGGCCGCATGCAAGGCAAACACCCTACCCGCTATGCTATCGCTCCAGCCCCTGTTCAGTATGCTTTTAAGTCTTGCCTCTAACAGGACATAAGGTTACATAAAAGTGTTCTTCCCATTTATCTTGACTGTTTTAAATAAGTTATTGGTGATAAGTCAGAAACACCTAATGAAGGAAAATAGGTAAGTCTCTGAATCAAAAAGATTTTAATATTATCTCTTAAGGTGAATAACCTACTGTATTTATTTGCAATAGGTGTACTTTCCTAAATAAATTCAAGGCCACAACTAGCAAAAGGATAAAGATGTAATTTTATTTTAAGATAAATACCAAAAGTCCAACTTTACAAAATAGTTTTATCAATGTGAATTATTTTAAAGAAGAAATAGACACTGAAAATACATACAAAAAAACTGTATTCTCTCCAGGGATATGGTTGAGTGGTAGAACACAAGCCTCATTTTTATAGAGCCCCGTTGCGAGCCCCAACACCACATGCACACACAAATTTTAAATCAAAACTGAAAACTGTACTTTCATTTACACTGCAATAATAAGCCTCCAAACAAATTAATATAGGGCAGACACAAGAAGTTACATGGGTATAAATCTCTAAGTGAAATCTATAAATCCAAGTAAGTCAGACACAACTACAATTTCCTGAGACCAAAATCTTAAGATAAATACACTAGTAAAATAGCAATGAGCATACATTTACAAATATGCATAAATTCCAGAATACAAACTGAAATACATAATGGAAATAGGAAAAAAAACATCTTCTACTGCCACTGATTTTATTATAAGTTGAAAATGTGAACACAACTTCAAAAATTTAATAGCATAGACAGATTCATGACTACTTTTCAAGAATAAAGATCTTGTTTTGCTAAATGACATCACTGAAAGTGAAATGAAAAGAGAAACATTCTGTAAAGTAAGCTAAATTCTTTTTACTTTACAGGCCCTGCTAGAGCCTTGCTGCTGCTCTAATTCACGACTTGGGGAGGCAAAACTAAAAAAGCTGTTGCTGGGTTCTGCTTCTGTGGGAGAACCCACAAAAAATGGTCTGAACTGAAAATCTCCATTTCCACCACCCCGATTTCGTACTGGTGTGTTGTCCAAAGGAAACCTGGTGTTGTTCCCTGGAGAAGAGGAAAAATGAAAAATTTAAGCATTTCTTTTCTTACAGATCTTTAGAAATAAAATTATACATTAAAAATATATATTTTAACAGACATCAATTCCCATGAGATAGATTAAAACAGATGAAGAGACTCTGATGGTCTCTATCACTGTGCCTTTCTTTTGTGACAGTTTCCAATGACATCATAAAAGCAATTTGATATAATAAATTTCTCTATTAGGTTATAACATTTACATTAATTTTTCAAAGGAATCATATCAAATCATATGCATATGTGTATGTAAAGTCTTTTGTCCAGAATTTGCTAATAATTTTTTTAAAAGAGAAACACCGTAGGCCCAAGGAGATAGCTCAAAGGGCTGGAGCACGTTTTACATGCTGGAGGCCAAGATTCAATCCCAAGAACCTCCGGATCACCCAAAATGGCCAGAACTATGCCCCTTCACCACTTAACCTGAAGTAGACCCCCAAACACTACTGGTTGTAGCTTAGAACCAAAATAAAATAAAGATAAATATTCTAGAAAATAGATGACAAATATTTTATAGAAATACAACTATATTATAGTAAAACTGGGATATACTATAACCTAAGATCAATCAGCATAGCCTTAAGAAAACTCAAAACAGTAGATCAGATTAAATTGGCATTTAACAACTTCACTGACCTCTTCCTTGACTTCTATAAGTAATTAATTTTTTTAGTGATTTGGGTCACACCCAGTGTTGCTCAGAGGCCACTCCCCTAAGCATTCAGGGAACCATCCACTAACAAGGATCAAATCTGGGGTTGTTATAAAAGAAGTATGCACTCAAGTTCTTTGACTTACTTTCCAGGTCCAACTTCTACAAGTTTTGGGGATGGAGTGATAGTACAGAGGGCCAGGTATTTGCCTTATATGCAGCCAAGCAGGGTTCAATCCCTGGAACCCAACATGGTTCCCTGGGTGCACCAGGAGTGGTCCCTGAGTGCAGAGCCAGGAGTAAGTTCTGAGTACAGCTGGGGGTAGCCAAAACAAACAACAACAATAATAGCAACAAGAAAAAGACTTCTACAAGTCTTTAAAGGACCAGGAAACTGAAGTAGAATGCTTTCTTTATCTGCTTCAAGCCAACAACCGTAACAAAAGGTTAATGTTCAAGAAAGAGGAACAGGAAAGAATAACTAAATAACTAATAAAATATAATAAAGTACTTCAAAATAAATATGGATAGTAATAAGGAAAAAAATAGGATCATCTATGACCAGACTGATAGTACAGAGATGTAGGTGCATGCACCGATCTCAGTTCAATCCCCAGCATCTCACAGGACTAGCCCCAAGCATCACAGAGTATATAGCCCTGGAGATGCATCAAGCACCTTTCAGTGTGGCCATGGAGGATCCAGAGCACTACCAGAGTAGCCCAAATAATCCCCCAGCAGGGCCGAAGCAACACCACATTTGAGCCTTCACATTGAAATGCTGGTTCAGATCAGTGGCTAACAATTGCCAAGAATAGCCCCCCCATCCTCTGAGCACTACCCACCAAAAAAAAAGAAGTAAAAATTTAAGAATATCTACAATGCACACATATAATCATATACAATGATACATTGAATACATTATGTATGTGATTTACTAAAGTTAAAGAGAAACTTTTTGTTTCAATTATTTTTTTAGGAGGGAGGGTGACACCCAGTTCTCCTGGGCTATTCTAGTCTCGGTGCTCAAGTGACCATGTTGTGCTAGGGATCACACAAAAAGTATGAGTGCCTGCCAGCCCTTTGAGCTATCATCTCAGGTCTTGTCTCCTTTTTTTTTTTTTTTTTTTTTTTTTTTTGCTTTTTGGGTCACACCCGGCGATGCACAGGGGTTACTCCTGGCTCATGCACTCAGGAATTACTCCTGGCAGTGCTCAGGGGACCATATGGGATACTGGGAATTGAATCCATGTTGGCCGCGTGCAAAACAAACGCCCTTCCCGCTGTGCTATCGCTCCAGCCCCTCAGGTCTTGTTTCAACTCTTATATCTGATATTCCTCATCTCATTTCTTCAAGTCTTTTCTAATAATTAGTATACTGACTCCTGCTCCACCAAGTATCTTTTCTCAGTCTACAATAAAGCTGAAAAAATGAATATTTAGAAAAGGCCAGCACAAAATTTATTTTCTGAATGTCAAAAATGATTAATATTACTAGCAAAGCAAAATTTATTATATTCTGTTATACCAGGAGTAGTACAAAGGGGAAAAAAGTACAAAGGAAAGATATGAATTCAAGGTCTCTGGCAAGGAACCCAACAAGCAGGGAAGAGTCAGTATCATCCAAGATGAAGAACCTCCAGTGGGCAAGACTCAGGACTGGATAATCTTTATGTCCTCATTGAGTAGAATCATGCCCTGCAATCTGGCACATGAAACATGCTTGATAAATATTTGGAGAAAGAATAAATATAGACTGAACCAACTAACAATCACTTGAGAATTACCATGTGATGGAAAGGATCATGCTAAGCGAAATGAGTCAGAAAGAGAGGGACAGACATAGAAGATTGCATTCATCTGGGGGACATAAAGTAACAAAATAGGAGACTAACACCCAAGAACAGCCGAGATAAGTACCAGGAGGATTATTCCATGGCTTTGAGGCCAGCCACACACGCTAGGGGAGAAGGCAGCTCAGATAGAGAAGGGAGCACCAAATAAAGGATGCTGGGAGGTTCCTCTCACGATGGGAGATACATGATGAGAGTAAACTATAGACCGAACATGATTGCCACTCAATGTCTCCCTTTGCAAACCACATTTGAGCCTTCACATTGAAATGCTGGTTCAGATCAGTGGCTAACAATTGCCAAGAATAGCCCCCCCATCCTCTGAGCACTACCCACCAAAAAAAAGGAAGTAAAAATTTAAGAATATTTACAATGCACACATATAATCATATACAATGATACATTGAATACATTATGTATGTGATTTACTAAAGTTATAGAGAAACTTTTTGTTTCGATTATTTTTTTAGGAGGGAGGGTGACACCCAGTGACACTCAAAAGGAGAGAGAGAACAAAAGGGCATGCCCTGCCATAGAGGTAGGGTGGGATGGGGGGATTGGGGGCTGGGAGGGATACTGGGATCAGTGGTGGTGGAGAATGGGCACTGGTGGAGGGATGGGTATTCGATCATTGTATAACTGAAACCCAAGCACAAAAATTTGTAAGTCTACAACTGTACCTCATGGTGTTTCACTAATAAATATTTAAGGGAAAAAAAAAAGAAATAAAAGTTAGAATTGTTAGAAAAAAAAAAAAGAATTACCATGTGAGATAAACTGAAATATGCCAGGCTGGGGGAGTAGGAAATGGTGAAAATTATGAGCCTAGATAGCTCAACGTTCTTGATCAATTTACTTTAATTTTCTGTGCTTCAAATTTCTCTTCTGTAAAATAGGGGTTAATAAAAATACCTACCTCAGAAAGTTTTTAAAATAATGTGAATACACTTTCTTCTATGGAGCAACAGCACAGCGGTAGGGCGTTTCTTTGCTCATGGCCCGCCCTGCCAAACCGGCTTCAATTCCTCTACCCCTCTCGGAGAGCCCGCCAAGCTACTGGGAGTATCTCACCCGCAAGGCAAAGCCTGGCAAGCTACCCATGACGTATTTGATATGCCAAACACAGTAACAACAAGTTTCACGATGGAGCCATTAGTGGGCCCACTCAAGCAAATGGATGAACAACGGGAACAACTTTCTTCTAAGGAAACTTTCTTGGATCATCTTTAGCAGAGTATTCATAATAGACAATACAAAGTAAATTATTATGTTCTCCTTTGGAGCAAGCTTTGGGGATCAGGGTGGAACAATTTGAAATATGGTGGTGGAAAGGTGTAATGGTGATGGGAATAGTGTTGGAATACTGAATGTAATCAATTATTGTGAATAACTTTATAAAAATAGAATTTAAAATAAAATAATGTGAACATATATAATATCATTAACATTGCCTAGTAATGAGTAAGGAAACAATAACAGTAGCTAATATTATTACTGAAGCTAAATAGCTTTACTGTCAAGGGAACAATTTACAAATTAATCTTGGAGAAATTTACTGTGTTCATATTCAAGCTTAAATTAAACATAAGCAAAGAGAGTCAATGATGGACACATTAAGGAAAAATAAAACAAAAACCCTACAATCTGTTTAAGCCTTTGAAGTCTCCAATAATTATTTGGAACTATGCAGAGTACAGTGTAAAAAATCACTGAGTTTAAAAACAGATATTACATGTTCTTGCTTACCTACTGGGAAGCCAAAAACACCACACTGTGTAATCATGGCTGGATCAATGTTACCTTCTTGGTTAGCTATGGTGATATTTCGCAGCCTAAGACTATCATACAGGCCTTGGAGTTTCTGATACTGTCGATTCCGCTCCATAAGTTTCTCAGAGATATCACTGAATTTTTTCTTGTACTCTTCTAGAACTTTCTTCATAGAAGTGACCTCCCCTTTCATAGAGGTCAGTTCTACATCCTTGCTTTGTATCTGCTGAGTATATATCTTTTCCATCTGTTTCAGATGGCCCTCAGCCTTACTGAAATTGTATTCTTGATAGAGACGTTCCTGGTGTACCTGTTGTAAGAGAGAAAGGTTTTTTGATTTAGGGTTTTTATTTCTGAAGGGGTTTGTCTTTTGTCTTTTTTCTGCTTTGTTTTTGGTTTTGGAGCCACATCTTCATCTTGTGGTGCTCAGGGACAGTTCCTAGCTCTGTGTCCAAAAAGTGTCCCCAAACAATGGCTGGAATTAAACCCAGGGCTGTATGAGCTATCTCCCAGTCCTAAAAAGAAAAAGACATTTAAGTAAGTATTAAACTAAATATTATAAACCTTATACAAATCTTGCACAAAATAAAGATGTTTGTACTGATATGTTATTACTTCAATATCATGAACCAGACTAAAAAGCAACCAAGTACAAGAGGATTGTTATTATAGAAAATTAATAGCTTATGTTCCTTGAGGTCTGAAAATGATTAGAATAAAATATGGAGGAACACTCTCAAACCACAACTCTAACACCAACACAAGAAACAAATATATGTCAATCTTCACAGGTAAAAAGTAGTTTAAAGGTTTTTTTCTAATAAAATCTTAAACCTTAAGTATGAGATTTTATAAAGTCTCATATAATCGGTCTCTACTCCACAGTGCAGAGACCGATTATATGAGAGCTTCCTATTATCCCTGTCTCCTAGTAATTATCGACTGCTCCTGAATATGAATAGGAACTGTGACAAGTAACTAGATGCCACTTCATGAGTACATGATATAAGACTAAATGGCATTGTCTAACTAAAAAGTTCTCTCTCTTGCTGCCTTGTGGAAGCGAGCAGTCATGTTGGGATGACAACAAAACAAGTAAACTGTTAAGAGTCTCTAGAAAATTGCCACTAAAATATTGAGAACACTAGGAACCTAAACATAAATTTTACATCCTTCACAAAACTTATCTCAAGGGTCCAGAGGAATACCTCTGTGGCTCCAAATGCCTGCCTTGCAAAACAAAGGGCATGAGTTCAGTCTCCATGCATCAAGCACAATCACTGCAACTCTGCCATCTGTGATCACCTAGCACCAAAAAAGATTTCTGGCCATACCACAGCCAAGTGTGTGCAATCATCAAAACTTAAAAAATAATAATAAATTTTTTAAAAAGCGGGTGGGCCGCCGCCTCAGAACTTATAGGAAAGCCAGGTATGTGCCGGCGGTGACGGGACAACTGCAGTCTCATGGGAGGGGGATGGTACCGGCTCGTCCTTCACGCCCTACCGAGGTCACGAGCTGCCCCCCACAAGCGGCTCTCCAGTACAGCCATGGCTCCAGAGGCAAAAGGACTTAGTCCAGAGCCGGCAGCTTGCAGCAGAAAAGTGAATGGACCATGCATTAAACTACGGCACCATGCCTCCCAGGGAGGGAAAGGGTGTTGCTCCCTTCTGCCTCCCCCCACCTCCCCCCACCCCCAGCAGCAAGGTGGTCACCGCCTCAGAACTTATAGGAAAGCCAGGTATGAGCCAGCGGTGACGGGGCAACTGCAGTCTCATGGGAAGGGGGGGCGATACTGGCTCGTCCTTCATGCCCTACAGAGGTCACGAGTTGCCCTCCATGAGCAGCTCTCCGGCACAGCCATAACACAAGATGCACAGAAACCAATCTCGTAATTATCTGGCTCTTTGCAGAAATCCAAAACCATGTGGCTGCAATAGCAGCCACACAACTTTATATGATTCTCATAACCAGCTACAGAAAACAAATTATTTCACAATGCCTTTTCAGCAATTCTGATTATGGGGGAGGGGGGGAATTCTAAACAATAATGGTGCATCTTTTGTCAAAATAATGAATGTAATCAATGCAGAGAAGAATTAAGTAGAAATCATCTGCCTCACAGGCATTGTGAGGGGTGGGAGGGGTGTACATTAGGGTTCTTGGTGTTAAAAAATGAGTACTGGTGAAGGGAAAGGTGTTTGATCATTGTATGACTGAGACTTGAACCTGAAAGTTTTGTAACTTTTCCCACAGTGATTCAATAAATAAATATAAGAAGAAAAAGAAATAAACAAAATTATGAAAAAAAAAGTAAGGCAGAGTTCATGCCCAATTCAATCAGCTAATCAGTGACTGAATAAATAGCAGTACTCCTACATCAAAAAAAAAAAGTGGGTGGAACAACAATGCCTGGTGAACACAATGTGAGCATCACAGTGACCCCTACCACCACCCAGTCAAGCACTACAGCAGAATGTGCATGAAGAACACAATTTTAAAGAAAGCAGCTCTCCAGTAAGCACATGTGCAAATTTAACTGGTGGAGCACAACACACAAAAGCACTATTGGTCGAGTGTACTGAGCACCTCAACTAAAATAAATGCAGAAACATTATATGGGATCTGGGAACCACTCCGAGTGATGCTCATCCAGCAGGATGGGCAGGCTGTTTCAGTGCCTGGGCTCAGCAGTGCAGTGCAAAAGGAATTGTTTATATATTAATAAGAGTAAATATAAACAGAGAAAGGGAAAAAGAAAAGACACACATACCTTAAGATTCTCTGAATATGTACCCCAGAGAAACTAGCCTGAGCACTCACCTGATAGGTCCAGAAGGCCAGGGCCCGGGAGCTAATATCCAGCACAATCTCTGGACGCAGTCCTGCCAGGACCATGGCTTTGTACTCTTCGGACGGGCTGAGCTCTGTGCGAACGATGTCCAGCTTTCCGGAGAGGGTGCTGTTGCAGGCCGGGCAGACAGCGGGTGAGCGGCTGAACTCCCCACTGCCGTGCTGGTCGCAGAAGATGTGTGAGCAGGCGGTGACCCAGGCGTAGCCCGAGAGCTTGATGCGACACTTGCGGTAATTGCAGAGCAGCATGTCCTCACACAGCGACATGGCAGGTCAGGGCACCTAACAGAGAGGAAAGGACAAGGTCAAAGGAGATGGGGTGGGCACCCGGAGATCAAACTGACCAATAAAGAACACGTCCCTTCACTGTGAACAAAGAATAGTCACGTTCCCCCTTTGGTAACAATAGATCAGAATCCACAGAGGACCTAGCTCCCCGACACCAACCACTCCAAAAACCGTGAAAGACTATGTCAAGGGTGAAAGACACAGACCGATGAGCATCTACAGGCTTTCCAGCTATCCATCCATCAAACCAGGGGTTAGAAATGAAAGTGCTGCACTTTTCGTCCTGTTTATTCTCCGGGTGTCTGCTCTCAGTATTTTGGCCCAAACTATGGCAGTCAAGTTCTGGATCGTCCCGAACCAGTCACTGGTTAATCTAAAATAACAGTGATGGGGCCAGTGCCATAGCACAGCGGGTAGGGCGTTTGCCTTGCACACGGCCGACCCAGGTTCAATCCCCAGCATCCCATTTGGTCCCTCAAGCACCACCAGGGGTAATTCCTGAGTGCAGAGCCAGGAGTAACCCCTGAGCGTCGTCTGGTGTGATCCAAATAGCAAACAAAAAAACAAAACAACAACAAAAAAAAGAGCTTAAAATAACAGTGACATCAATTATGCACCAAAGGAAACTGGTTACCTTTGGACACTGACAACATCCTTTTTTCCCTCCTTGGGTCACACCCTGCGATGCTCAGGGATTCTGCACTCAGCAGTTACTCCTGGGGATGCTCAGGGGCCCACTTGGGTTGCTCTGGAATCAAACCCGGGTCAGCCCCGTGAAGGCGAACGTCCTCCCCGCTGGTCTATCGCTCCGCCCCCGGCAACTTCTGTCCTGACCTGAGTATGGTCGTGGTCAAAGGGCACTTTCGTCCCCCAGGTCCCCGCTGAGACCATCCACCGGTAAGTGGGCCCCGGTAGCCGGACCGGGGGTATCTGAAACCCCCCGCGGGGACACGGGCCTGGGGAACACAAACCACGTCTGGTTCTGAAGCGGTGCCGCGCCCCAAGCCCCTCCTCGGGCAGAGCGGGAACGGTGCGTGCTGAAAGACGCGACTGCGTGAGCTACTCCCCTCGTGTGTCTGAGATTTCATCTCACGGGAACTTCCCAGGAATCGGGTCCCGCTCACAACACTCTCTAGAGAGAATAACAACTCGCATAACACAAATGGAATCTCTAACCTGAAGGCGCGTGGAAAAGCGCGGGAAAACACAGATGGCGACACGAGGCGCCGAAGAGATGGAATGGCCGTCGCGTGCGCCAGGCGGGGCGCATGCGTGAGTCGCCGCAGGGCCTGCCGGGTAATGGCTTAGCGCGAGTCGCCGCAGAGCCAGCTGGGTAATGACTTAGCGCGAGTTTCGCTGTGCAGTGTCTTGGGCAAGGACTTATCCGTGAGGCTCAGACTGGAAAGGCTTGAATCCTCTTGAGTTTCTGCACAATAGGGGGAATGAGGTCTAGCTAGAGTATACGGGTAAAGGCACATGCTGCAGTCAATCCTACTTTGATCCCCAGAACCACGTGGCCCCCTGAGCATCACTGAGTACAGCGGTCAAGGCCTCCACAAACACCTCCAGGTGACCCAGATATCCCCAGCACCACCTACTTGGTTCTTCACATTGAATCACTAACAGGGGCCCCAAGGCCTCCTGAGCACCACTTGGGAGGACGTCCCCCCATCCCCAAAACAAAGGAATAAAAAACTTCTGACAACCTATTATACAAACCTCAGAAATTGCCAGATAGTAAAAATTCTAAGCTAAACATACACGTGGACTTTGACAAAATAGCATCTCTTAAACATTTCCTACATGCTTAACAATGCTTCTCACATTTACTATCTAATTTTATCTTCAAAGCCAAGTACTAATTCTTCACATCAGGTACTATTATTATCCTCTTCTAAGATGTAAAGATGCCGTGACACTAGCTGTTAAGAAACTTGCCAAAGTGATCAGAGTGATAGTACAGGAGGTAACGAACTTGCCTTTTACCTAGCAGACCTGGGTTCCATCTACAACATCCCACATGGGCCCCTGAGCACAACAGGAGTGATCCCTGAGATCAGAGAAGAAACTTGCCAAGGTGGTGTAGTTTGTTGTGATAGAGGATAATTTTGAACCCAGTCTGACTGGAATCTACATCTAAATACTATACTAGTTTACATACATCTCAATATCTCTGCTGTATTGGTGACTCCTTCAGGGTCAGGGGAATGAAACCCATTGTAATTACTGGTTCTGGCATATCAAATACACAATGGATAGCTTGCCAGCCTCTGCCATGCGGGCAGAATACTCTCTGTAGCTTGCCTCTTAGAGCGATTCCATGGGATGTCAAAAGACTGCGTGGCCGCCCACCTACCAGATGGTCAGACTTCTTCCTCAAGACCCTGAACGATCAGTTTGAGGCTCTTCATGTTCCTAGAACGAACAGATGCCACTGGGCTACACTAGCACACAACAGGGACAAATGGAGACGTTACTGGCCCCTGCTCGAGCAAATCGATGATTAATGGGAAGTCAAGTGATCAAGTGATCAATACATCTGACATGTAAATAAATAAAATAACTAGTTAGATAATTCCACAGGTTAGAGTGTTTGTTTTGCCTATCAAAGGTCAAAGATTTGATCCCAGATTTGTATACACATAGGATATGTCCTTGCACACACACCCCCAATAATAAATTAATAGAATTTGGGACCAGAGAGAGATCTCAAAAGTCCAAATAGATGCTTTGCATACACAGGACTCAGGTTGATACTCAGCACTGCATGTTCCCATGAGCATTATTGGGAGTAATTCCCAAGCACTACTGGGTATGACCCAAACACCAAAAATTAAAAATAGAAATAATAAAATTTGGGGGCATAGAGATAGGACAGCAGATAGGACTTTCTTTGCACACAGCCAACCTAGTTCCATCCCTGGCACCCTATATAGTCCCCCTGAGCCCTGCCAGCAATGATTCCTGAGTTCTGCCTAGTGTGGCCCATAAACTTTGTAGTAGCACTTTCTCCATTGACCATAAAATTACAAAACTGAATGTTTAGATTCATGTGTATACCAAACCTCTTTAATATTCCCATAAAAGAAAAATGCTATCGTCATTATTTTATATCCAGAATATTTAAGAGCTCCAGATGGGAAAAAAGTGAGACTCCGAATTAGATTCAGTTTTTGGAAATTAATTCCTAAAAAAGTAAAACTGAGTATTTGTTTTATGTGCTGGTTACTTTGAATTATATATATTTACTGAATTTACCCTTAGATGTATGCTTACTCTTTGTGGAAACATGAAGATTTCCACATTTGCCAGAAATAAAGAAAATAAGACCGTTCCATAAAGGTTTATTAAAATTACTTTTTAATTATACAATATAATAAAGTCAGAAAATATAGGTAAGCAAGATGACTCATATCACTCAAAGAGCAATTCTGGAAACAATATCCCTGTTATTTGAGGCGAGGTCATACTTTCAGGTGACATCTTATAGAATGTAAGATGTTCCCGCAGAAAAAGAATCTTTTACATAATGCTCTATAAATTGTTTTTAACTTAATGTTTCATAAGTAACCTTCCATTTCCAAAACAGATAAACTGGATCAGAGCAATAGATCAATGAGTAGGAGTTCATAATTTGCATGTCGTTGGCCTAGGTTCTATCCCTGGCACTACATCATCCCCCAAGCACCACCATGAGTAACCCCCACCCAAGCACAGTGTCAGGTGTGATACAAAAACAAAACAAGGAGTCAGAAAGGAATTCAGTGGTTAAGGTGTTTGCTTTGCTCAGGGCCCACCATGGTTCATTCCCCTGCACTTCATAAGGTCCCCTGAGCACTACCCCTGAGTGCCACTGGGAGCGACCCAATCCACACACACAAAAAGATAAACCTGTATCAGAACTGTTAAATGACAATTGTATAATATGTATAATATGCGAAGTATAATAGGCATTGCATAATAGGATCTGAACAATGCATAATATGATCTAAGTAGATTTAAGTACCTCATTCATTTAATCTCATAGACTGATAAGCAGCAATTAGTTAAAACTTTCTTATCAAATGTTGATTTGGCTATGAATTCTGTCAATGCTTTTCCCCCAATGTTAGAAGTTTTAGATTCACCGTTCTTGACCCTACCTCTCTATGCCAGCAGTCTACCTAACAAACATGAATTGGATCCCAATAAAAATGCTAAGACGTAAATTGCATTTGTTTGTCTTATTTTGGGTCTGCCCAGATCATGGGTTTAGAACTGAAACCTGACCTAACATGTATTTTATCAGGTCAAATTATAAATGATAAAGGGCTTACCTTGGTGAAAGATAAACCACACAGGCCTACAGTCATCTAATTTCTAAACTAGGAAAACCCTCACAAGGTTAGAACTAAGGGAAAAATCAAAAAGGGCAGGAGTCAACAAGTTGTAAGAAAAGGAAAAGCTTAAGACAGGACCAGGGTATGGCAAAGTGGTAGAGCACACACTTCACATGTGTGAGACTGGGGTTGATTTCTGGCACCACCAAAACAAATAAGCAAACAAGCAAAACTAAGAGCAGGTATTCCAAATAGCTTTTTTAAAGGCAGTTTCAATTTGATTTGCAACAATCTATATTTAGCTTTTAATGAACTTATACCACAAAAAAACTAAAGACCTTCACTTGACAATAGTTTTTAACTTTTTTTAACCACTTTTGTTGAGATACCTTTTTTTATAATCACTTTTGTTGAGGTAACTTTTTAAAACCACTTTATATGCATTGTTTCAACACCATACCCATTAAGAGTCCACTTCCCTTCACCATGATAGCAAAGAGTGTGATTCGCACTTTCAGATCAAAGGGATTTGGAAGTTTAACCTTCAGGCTGTTCTCATAGTGCATAGTCCTCATACTGACTAGGAAATGCGTTTCACTGCACTTAATGATTTTAGCTGAAAATAATTACAATTATATTTGTATAGCTTCCTTACTTACT